TCCTTTTAAACAAACACACAGAGTTCCAGTATCACGTGATTCACACCTTTCCCTTTTCCTTACTTGTACCTTTTCTTCTGCAGTGAGAAATCTGCAAATTATCATTACCTGCAAAATATCTACTTATTTGTTCAACGCTAGTAGACATGGTTTCAGAACTACTAACCCATACCCCCATGTAAACAAATTTACCAACTAGAGGACAGTGTTCACATAGCTTCCTGTCTTTGGCCCCAGAGTACCCAGTCAAAACACAAAGTTACTACGTGCAACTCCCTTCTCTCCCTTATCTTTCAATGCGGTAATGTGATCCATTCCTTATCTCTGTCACAAACTACACTTTATCTGGTGTTGGAGTAGAGCTCTATGGATACCCTAGACCGCCAGAAAGGTAAGCAAGTGGGTCCTAGAGCAAATTAAGCCTGAAAATTTGCTAAAGGCAAAAATGACAAAACTGAAGCTGTCCTACCTACTTCAGGCACACCATGAGAAGACTGGGTTCTTTGGAAAAGACAGTAATGCTGGGAAAAAAGACAAGGTAGCAGGAAAAGAGAAAGACCCCATATGAGATGGAGTGACTCCACAGAAGAAGCCATAGGCATGAGTCTACAAGAGCTGAGCAGGGCAACCGAGGACAGGACACTGTGGACATCACTCATTCAGAATCGCCAGGAGTCAATTCAAGGGCATATAACAACAACATTCTATCTTAGGTCCACCCCTAACCCCTACGTCGTGGTTGATTTTTTTTCAATTAACATACAATAAAATTTAGTCTTTGTAGTATACATTTTTATTAATTTGACAAATACTCAGAATCCCATATCCACCACCATGGTTCCTTACAGAACAGTTCATTCACCCCCAAAACTCTCTTGCTGACCCTTGTAGTCGACTGTTCCCCCACCCCCTAACCCCAGCAATCCTTACCGTTTTGCCTTTTTTCGAATGTTTCACACATGTACCTTTTGGGGTCTGGTTTTCCTTACTTCACAAAATGCATTTAGAATTCATCCAGTTTGTTGCAAAAGTCAGCAGTGCACCTCTGTTGCTGCTGCATGTGTTTCATCGTTCGGACATGCTGCCGTTCATTTAGCCAATTCACTGGTCACCGTGCATCTGAGCTGTTTCCAGTTTGGGGTGATTATGAGTAAAGCTGCTATAAACATCATGTATAGGTTTCTATGTGAACATAAGTTTCCATTTCGGTTGGTTGAATATTAATTTTATTTTTAAGGCAAGTTGATTACAAAGACCATATGAAAAAAATAAGCAAGAATAGTTAGAAAAACCCTGAAAGAGGAAAGTGAGGGAGCTGGCCCTACAAATAAAACATCTGTAAGTTTCACAGTGTGGCACTGGAGCCCTGGCCAGTGTGTCTCAGTTGGTGGGAGCTTCATCCTGTACACCTAAAGGTTGGAGGTTTGACTGCCAGTCAGGGCACATACCTAGGTTGCAGGTTTGGTCCCTGGCTGGGGAGAATAAGACAGGAAACCAGCCCGGCCGGGCGTGGCTCAGCGGTTGAGCATTGACCTAGGATCCAGGCGATCAGTGTTCGATTCCCAGTCAGGGCACATGCCCGGGTCGCGGGCTCCATCCCCAGTCGGGGGCATGCAGGAGGCGGCCTATCAATGACTCTCTCATCATTGATGTTTCTGTCTCTCTCTCTCTCTCTCCCTCTCCTTTCCTCTCTGAAATCAATAAAGATATATTTTAAAATAATAATAATAATAATACTCTCCATTTAAAAAAAAAAGGCAACCAATGTTTCTCTCTTACATTGAAATGGGGGTTCTAATTCAGCGGGTCCATGGTAGGCCTGAGACTACATTTCTAACAAGCTCCCAAGCTAAGCCAATCCAATGCTGCAGTCCCACACTTCACAATAAGCGATGAGTCTAGTACTACTTATGAAGCATATTACCTGGGAAATGAGCCTGATCTACTCAAGCCTCTTGATCAAACTACCAGTTTACTGGAGTAAAGGAAAAGATAACTGTTCAATAAATCAATCAGGTCAGTCCAACAAGTGGGGTATTGTATAGGACAAGTGATCCAGTTCCCCCCAACAAATAAGTGGTATGCAAAATAGGGGAGAGGACTTACGATGTATCATCAAAGGTAATGTACAGACCTCGCTGAATCTGATTTGAGCAAACCAGCTATAAAAAGGTGTTTTTGAGACAAGTGGGGAAATGTGAACATAGACTAGAAACTATCTACTAAGGAATTATTAGGTTTTGTTTTTACATTACATGAAATGATGGCATTGTTGTTACATTTTTAAAAAGTACATGAAAAATATGATGTCTGAGGTTCGTTTTATAATATTCAAGCAAAAATCCAAAGCAAAACACACAAGTGAGGAGGGGGAATAAATCATAGTAATTAACAGGATTCATTGTATTATTCTACTTTATTTGCAATTTTCTTCAAAAATTTTGTATAAAACAAATTGAAAATAAAAAATTACAACTATTCAATATTACTATTTTCACTCACCAATTCTCAAGAAAAATTGTAACTCAGAGCAAAAGGGTGGAAAAAAGGCACAGACTGCTTGCTAGACTGCTCAACTCACTTTTACCTCCTACCAACTATTACTTTAATTCAGATACTGAGCCCATATATAAGTTACCAGACCCCCTAGTGGCACAAGCCTTCAGGGAATATGCATTCCCAGCTTTGGAGCTTTACAGTTATTTCAGATACAAAAAGGCCCTTGCCTTTAAATTGTGAACTTGTTATTGTTCATTATTACCAAAGCAATGTCTAAGTTTTACTCAACTCTGCTAAGTAACTGAAGCAAATTTCTGTATTGCTTACTGCCCTCATTGCTTTATTTTAAAAAAACAGCCCCCCCCACCCAGCCCCCCAAAAATTCAGAAGACATGGAATCATTCATTGTGTTTGGTTTTCCATTCTTCCCTTCAATCAGAAATAGATCAGACCTGCCCATATCAAGGATTCAACAATAAAAATAAACAATAAAAAACCACCATATTACTTTATCATACTCTATAAAAATGTTGTATAATGTTTGCTTTCATTTTCAGTCTTCCACTTTCCATTTCTTAAACTCTGTTCTATTATTGACACAAACTACTTTTAGTCTTTAATGAGGTTATAATATTAAAAAGAGAAGATTGTACACAAAGCAGGTACTCTAAGTTGTACACAACAGAAATGGGCATTGACTGTTCTAAGCAGAATAACAACATTCTGAAAAGACTTTGAGTAGCTCACAGAATGTCCAAAAAGGATGCAGAACAATGCCAGGTAACAGCAGACATAAGAGAACAGTGAGGACCACAGCTAAAAACATACTACAAACCCAAATTGGTGAAGACCTTGGGAGTTCCAGTACTTCACCGCTGCCTCCAGAAATTCCATTTTGCTAAGGCTGCAGCCACTGTCGTCACCAAACACCAGATTCTAAGGGGTACAGCTTCTTTGCAATCACTAGCTCTTGATTCAGTCTAACAGGCTGAACTCTGGCCAAGTTCAGACCCTAGCTGCTAGGAAGGCTAGGAAAGTGATGATCTGGTTTTTTTAGTTTCTACCAGGGGCTCTGTCTACCATGCATATTCACAAAGGGAGGAATTCTCCCAAATAAGAAAGAGCTTCAGGTGGAAAAGACAATTAAAAGGGTTTTTTTTGTTTCTATACTCAAGACTATTGGGTAGTTTCTTATCATTAGAATATTCAGGAGAAAATGAAATATTTTAGAATTTCTCCAATTACCTCTGAATTTAACACTCTACTTCAGAGGGGCAACTGAGGCTCAGATAACATTTTCACATATTGGACCATATGCTAACAAATTGTTCATAAACTACTTCACAGTGAAAGTAGACACAGCCCCCAGATTCATTATTTTCTCTTTTCTATGGTGTTCCTCAATTGTGCAGCACTTCACCTAAGCGGAATTCTGCTGTTTAAACACTTGCCCCATCTGAACAACAACAAACAAATCCACAAAGATCCTGAAAACCTAAGCCAGATATCACCAAATGTACTCTTTAGTAAGAGCAGATTTCTGCCCCGAACAACAGAACAAAACCCAACAAGTCTTGGCTCTCTCTCAGAGCCCAGTTGCTCCCATTTTACTCGGAGCATTCAGCTTCGTGACTTTTTCCAGCTTATTATATATTAGACGCTGCAGGAGAAGGAAAGGAAAGCTGGACAGGAAGCAATGACAACAGGAAGAAGACAAAAATCTACAAAAAGCAAATAAATACAAGAACTAAGAAAAAAGAGACAATAGAGTGCCAGGACCAGGAAGGAGAAGCAGGGCATCCCTCTAAGGATGGAAACAGACGAGGTTAAGGGTGACTGTGGTCAGAGCACTGGGCAGCGGGAGAAAAGAGAAAGAGAAGAACCAGAGAGCCTCTAAGCAAACCAAGGAAAGTGACCTTACTGGCAGGCAATAGGAAGTGAGTGAGAGAGGTACTTTAGGAAGGTTCTAGAAACAGAGAGACTGTGATTTCCTTTTCTCTGTAATGTATGGATTATATGGAATGGACTAGTGTTTCTGAACTTTTTTGATAAATGCCACTCTCATTCCTATACATTCTTCAAGCGGGTGCCAAAGCTGGGGTCACTGTAACATTTGAACCTCTTCCAACTAAGATTTTGTCTAGCTTTAAATTCTGTACCTTGTGTTGTTTAAAAAAGACTTTTGTTTTGTTTTCAAACATGAATTGTAATATGCAAAAAAAGTGTTCAAACATCTCACCTCCTTCCTAACCTTCACTTCCATCCTCCGTGAGAACAGTGAAGTAGAGGAACCCCAAAGTTAAAAATGCCAGGATTTCGAGTACTATCTAACCCCACAAAAAAAGATTCCTCTGGAAATCTTCCCTCCCCTCGGGAGGGACGAGTCATCTTCCGACCGTCGAGGATGCCCCATAACATTCACTGTTACTAGGAGTGATGTCTCCACTGCCGCGGCCCCCTCAGCACTTCTCCGGGTTCAAACTCGTCTTAACCTTTGGCAGCCGCCCAGCTGGTTCCTAAGAGACCCCACTTCCCAGGTACCAGGGAAAAAGGACCCCTTTTCGCCCGACTGCGGACCGCACGCCCCGCCTCCCGCGGCCTCACCTGCAGGCTTCCCAGGTACCGCCTCCTCTATCCCGAGCCACCGCCCACTTTCCGCCTCCTGCCGCGGATAACTAGGCCAGGGATTTTGGAGCCGGGCCCAAGTCACGTGACACCACGGTCACGTGCCAGGCGGGGTCATGCACCCAATTCCAGGTCAAGAGCAAAACCAGCGCCGGGCGCGGGGAGGACACCGCACTCGCGCGCACACGCGCACTCTCGCGAGATCTGTGAGGTCACGTGACGGTGTGGGTGCGGCGCGGCTTCACGTGACGGGCGCAGCGGGCCTCGGGGTCTCCTTCTTGCCGGGCCTCTTGACCGCGGGACGTGCTCTCACACCGGCCCCCAGCCCTTTCACCAGCGCCCACCCTCCCGCGGCCAACCACGCGACCCCTCTCGGCGCCCGCTCCGGTGGCCCTGGTGCCTATGGCGGCCCCCGGTGGCGCCCGGCGGCAGCCGCTGCTCTTGCTGTTCCTCGGTGAGGGTCAGGCCCGGAGCCGGGGTCTGCGGGGACGGGGGTACTACTAGGGGCCTGGGGGCTGCGCCGTTGGGGCTCCGGGGCACGGGAGGCCTACGGGGAGGGTGTGTTCGG